GGCACACGCTTATTCAGCAGCAGCAAAGTAAGACGAGTGCCCGTATTGGTATTGTTTACTAGCTGCCCTGGGAGGGCACGAACTGCCCTCGATGAGGGCTTTTGTCATGGGAAGGATCGGGGATCTGTGGGATTGATGTTGGGGAGCGGTGGGAGGGGAAAACCTTGCTGACGCCCGCGCATATAATACTGTATTCCCTCTCGGGCTTCTCTAGTTTTCTGTGCCTCCTCGCACCTCTTGCTCTGTTTAGTCTGCATTCAGGTGTTGTTTTAAATTTACTGGTTGCCGCGTGCGAACGCTACAGGCTTGCACCTAGAGTCCGTTTAACGCAACCGGAGGAGGAGGAGGAGGAGGAGGAGGAAAAGCACAAGGCGGCGGAGGAGAAGGAAGAGGAGGAGGAGAAGGAAGAGTGGAGGGCCCACGCTCGCCCCTCTCCTCCTCCGTCCCCCGCTTCCCGCCGAGGACCTGAACCACAAGATTCAGGCGCTCAGGAACGCCCTCAGCGAGGATCAGCGTCGTCGTCTTCTCGGTCGTCATCGTCGTCGTCGTCGTACTCGTACGTACTCGTTGTCGTCGGCTTCTCGGCCGTTGCCGTCTTTGTCGTCGTCGTCGTTGTCGTCTTCGTCGTCGTCGGCCTCGTGCCGCTCCTTCCCTCCGTGCTCCTCCCTCCTCCTCCGCCTCGTTCACCTCCACACCCGTCCAGCTCGGTCTCCGCTCTCGCCTCCTCGGCCGCTCCTGCTCCTCTGTGGCCTTCGTTTCCGCTCTATCCTTCCCATCCTCTTCCCGATTCTTCTTCTCAAGGGCGCCCTCGAAGGCGCTTGGCGTGTCGCGGTTCGGCTCCGATTCCTCCTCATCCTCCTCTTCTCCCCTGGGGGGCGGCGCGAGAGCGCGAAGTTGTTCGCGCTGCGCGCTTCGCGCAGCGCGAAACGCGAAGTTAGGCGCCCTTGCTCCTCTCCGTTCTCCCTCCTCCTCCTCCTCATCCTCCTCCTCCTCCTCCTCCTCCTCCTCCTCTCGCTTCCCACTCGCCCAGGATGACAACGGAGAGAACGAGTTCGTGGCGGCTCTGGCGGAGAAGAACAAAGCGCCCCCTTCCTCGCCGCCATTCCCCCTGCCATTCTGGCTTGTGCCGTCGCTGCGGCTGCGTGATGCTTCGGACACGTGACATTTGCAGTGTCCCGGCGAAAGGCGCCACCTCTCCTCCCCTCCTCTCTCCTCCTTTCTTCCTCGCCCCTTCTCCCTCCTCCCTCCTCACGCTTCCCCCCTCCCGTCCCCCTGTCTACAATTACCCAACGTGAGTGCTGCTATCCCCTCTCCCCCGAAGACGTCCCGAGAGTCGCGCGCCCCCCTTCCGCGTATGGTTTTTTACAGGATGGGTGTGGTGTTGGGACCTCGTTTTGATTCCTCCTCCTCCTCCTCCTCTTCATCGTCATCACCATCACCATCGCCATCACCATCGCCATCACCATCAAGCTCAGCATCACCATCACGAGCACCACCACCATCATCATCATCATCATCATCATCATCATCATCATCATCATCATCAGCATCAGCATCAGCATCATCCTCATCATCACCATCATCATCAGCATCATCATCATCATCATCACCGCCACCATCACCATCACCATCACCATCACCATCACCATCACCATCACCATCATCACCATCACCATCACCATCACCATCACCATCACCATCACCATCACCATCACCATCACCACCACCATCACCACCACCACCACAGCATCACCATCATCCTAACCATCATCATCACCATTATCACCATCATCATCATCATCATCATTATCATCATCATTATCATTATCATTATCATTATCATTATCATTATCATTATCATTATCATCATCATTATCATTATCATTATCATTATCATTATCATTATCGTTATCATTATCATTATAATTGTCATCATCATCATCATCATCATCAGCATCAGCATCATCATCATCATCATCATCATCATTATCATTACCATCATTATCATTAACATTGTCATCACCGCCAGCATCATCAGCAGCATCATCGTGAGTTTCATCATCATCACCATCACCACTGTCAATGGCACAGTTCTGTGCCGTAGAAGTGTGTTTTGCTGTTTTGTACCGCATATTATTGAGGGCCCCCCTGAATCAGACAAATTACGAAGGATTTTTGTTCGATATCCATCCTAGGAGCCAGATCCGCGTCAAACTAGGATCGGAAGGCATCGCTCAGAGTTCTTTCACTGTGATGCGCCCTGGCCACCAGCCTGGCGGCAGGGGTACAGGCAAGGGGGGACCAGCGCCTCCTGGACCTCCTGGCTATCAGGCCGACGGAGACGCACTTGCTGATGTTGCAAGGATTGCGATGCCACCAGAAGACGACAGCGACCCAGCGGAACCAGATGAGAGCAGTCAGCGAGATGGACGTGAGCACGAGAGAGCCCCACAAATGGACGTTGGGCTCGCAAAGGTGCTGCTCGGAGGCGAAATCCTGAAGTACACACCAGAACTTTAGAAGGAATGCGACGGTGTTCCAGACGCTGTGTGCAAGGCTTGGTGCACCAGTCGTGAGTGGAGGAGCCTGCCTCCTCCTGCAGAGCTTTCCGGAAGATGTGTGGGACGCGTGCGAGAGCGGTTCGAGAAAATACACACCCAGGGAGCCTTTGATGATATTTTCTGCAAGTTAGATGTGCTGTATGGGTACACCCAGCAGGTGGAGCTGCCAGGCCGGTGTGACGCGTTCTTCGGCGAGTTCAGTCGAGTATCCATGGATACGTTGGAGGCGTACGTGTTGACCTGGACAGCAGTTGTTGAAGTTGCGCGAGGCAGGACTTGATCTACTGGACATCCTGTCGGGCTGGCACGCGATTGCGAGACCTGGGGTACTCAGTGGCACGCCCAACCTGAAAGCACTGTGCAACAAGAGGCCGAGCGAGCGTGCATGTCGTGACATTTGCGCTCATGACGATGTTCGGAGGCGACCGTATGGTGCGCAAAAGGAAACATCGATCACGTGAACAGGAGAATCTAGAGCACGCCTGCGAGGCAATCGAGGAAGCGTTCGCCAACTGCACGGACGCGAGGGCGAAAATTAGAAAATTGGCGACGGCGAGAGGACCCTACCTGGTGGTGGCCTTGATCGACGAGCAGAACGGTCTCGGACTGCCGAGGGGCAGAAATGGGAGAGCGCCGGAAGGCAAAGATGAGAAACGCCGGGGAGCCACGTGGGAGCTGGAGCACAAGGAAAAACGAATTGCGTATATGGCGGCAGAACACCATGCGGAAGTGGGAAAGGAGCCCGGAAGGGTCGACACTCAGATGGAACGCCAAGTGCGTCAACGTCGGGAGCCTCTCAGGCTCGCTAGCGAAGGTTCACGGGGCGACGTGACGCAGGAGGTGCCAAGGACGCGAAGATGGTGTTTGCGATCCTGAATAGCAGCGACAACGGCATCCTACAAGGCGAGGGGGGCGGCATGACGGTAGAAGAGGTGGATTTGATTGCAGGAGCGGGAGTTGGCGACAGTGAGGCGACAGTCAGTCATGGGCCTTGATGAGTGGCCAGCATGGAGGAATAAGATTTTGCCTCTAGGCTTGTCCAGGGAGATCAAGACAGAGATATGCCGCCATGCGCTCAGTCTCGGCAGCGACGAGACATCGACGGCGAAGCAGATGGTGACCTTCCCGGTGTGGGTGCGCAAGCGGAAGGGACGAATCTCAGTGTACTTTGTGCCTGGGGGTTTTCTTACTGGTGGCGTGGCCCTGCTAACAGGATGGGGGGATTGGTGATCGATTATCGCAACTAGACGGTGCTTTATCTGGATGAGGACCCGCCGGTGTGGTCAGATTTCGAGACGGACGAGGTAGACGGTCGCGTGATCCACGGTCTGCTGCATTTTCCCGAGGAGGCGATGACGGAGAACGACGGTTTAAGCTAAGCGCATGCCGACGCCGACGGTGATTGCCAGGTAGAAAAAGGCGAGACATGGGCTACTACGCAGCTGCGGCGAGGAGGGGCATGACGCAGAGATGAAGGGCTTCGAGGCGAAGCAGCTTCGAGACTTGTCTAGGCGGGTGAACCGTGCCCTCGACGAGAATGCCAGGATCAAACGAAAGGTGTTGGGGATCTTTTTTGGCAGGGGGACGCGTGCCTCCACGCGCGCAGAAGCATGGCGACTTCGAGGCTGAGAAGATCTCGCTGGAGGCGGGCTGGTATTTCAGGAGAAGGCTCGTCGAGTCGCCGCCGTCTACAAGTGTCGGCAGGAAGTGCCCGGGGAGGCGTGGATGGCGCCGCCATGCGCGCCGTGGTCTGCGATCAACGCGTTGAACGAGGCTAGCAGTGACGACGACTACCGACAGCTACGCAGGCGCGAACGTGACCGGCACTAGACAGAGCTCCTATTGCGCAGCCTCGACATCTACGGAACCGGCGTCCGATCGGTGCGCGTGTAGAGCGCCCGCGATGCGCTGTTTCGCGGGGTGCCGACGTGCGGGCCGGCTTGTTAGGCTGCGACGCGCTCGTGGGCCAGTGCGCGTGCAGCCAGGTAGCGGTGGGCTCTCGTGGCAGACCTTTGGGGCCGATCAGGGAGCCCGCGAACGCGCGGGCCGCTGAGTGGTGGGCGCAGGGGGGTGCAGCTGCGCGGCTAGACGCACGCGCGCGCGCAGTACTGGGATGAGCTTACAACGTGATAATGCATCGAACTCTACCCCGGCAAGATTGCGCCGCAGGCGTCGATGTGCTTCGCAGGGGGCCCGCAGGGTGAATCCAGCTGCGCGGTGGAGAGGGTGTCGCAGGAGGTCCTCGACAGGGCGGAGCGCCGAAGGACATGGGGGCCCTGCTTGAGAAGTTCGCGACCGAGGAGGTTAAGTGCGTCGAGAAGGCGCGCGTCCGGGCGCGGCGCCCGCCGAGCGAGGCTCCGACGGCCGCGCTCGGGGGGGTGGGCGCTGAGGGCCGTCTCATCAGTTGCGCGGGGATAGCGCTTGTCTAGCGGGGCAGAGGCTGCGGCGCCGCGATCGACGCCGACGCCCGCCGCGCGCCGTGGAAAGACGAGCGCGCAATTATATTGGCCGTCGTTGACGAGGGCTCGGGTTGCGAGATGGGCGCGGCGGAGAACGACGAGAAGACCAGTGCCGAGATCGATGGAGAGGCGCTGGATTCAGCGGGCGGGTGCGCCGGCGGAGATTCGGGCAGATTTGAGTGGGGCTCGCGAGGAGTTCGGCGAGTGGCGCGAGACTTGGCGGATCAAGTTGCAGTTGAGACCCAGAGATGCGCATCGCAAGCTTGGCAATTTGAAGAGAATCTATCCCGTGCGACGCGAGCAGATGGCCGCGTGTCACGCGGGCCACCTGGGCGGCGGCCTGAAGATGGCGGCGCGTGCGGCGGAAGACGTGCGGGGCAGGTTGTTGCGAGACGCGATGAGCTTCGCCTCTGCTTGGCGAGCGCTGGGTCGGCAGTCCCGCGATCTAGGCGGCCCGGCGAGCGATCCGACCGCGACGTGTGATCTGGGCGAGCGCGACGAGGAGTGTTCAAACATGCTGGCGGCCAACGTGGCCCGTGCAGTTCGAATGGCGCTGGCGGCGGGGGGCCGGCCCCTCTCGAGAGAGTTTCAGATCGCCGAGCGGGTGTTCTTCTGGAGGCGCGACGCGGGTGAGAGCGACCTCGTCCAGAGCTGCTGGGCAGGGTCCGCCATGGTGACCCAGGTCGGGTACGCTGATGCCCTAGACAGTCTCAGGCAACCAGTGATGTGGCAAGTATATGGCAGCGCGTTGCCCAGAGCGGCGCGCGATCAGCTGAGGGCCGACCTGCCAGATTAATGGCGCTCACGCGAAAAAGGATTCACGCTCGCGCGGATTTGCTGCCATCGACGGCAGAAATCTGAGGACCATCGCCGGATTGATCGAGTGCGAGGATTACGTTGGCGAGCAGATGGGCCAGCCAGATGACTGCGAGGACGACCGCGTCCCGGACGGCGTGGACGCGGATCCCAAGGGGGCCGACGCGAACAGAAAAGTGGATCTGCCGAGTGGCGACGAGACGCGCGACGCGAGCAACCAGAACGGGAACTTGGGGGTGGAGGTTAAGGATCTGCAAGAGCCTAAGGACCGTGATGCTCCCCGAGATACAGGACAGGAGCAACGTATACCATCTGGGGCTGAGACGGCGCATCAGGAGCCAGCGGCGCCACCAGAAACTGCTAGCCAAGTGCCGCTGGCACCCACAGGCGCGGAAACCACCGAACAGCAGGACCCATGCAGTACCGTAGAGCGTTGGAGGAGGAGGAGAAGGAAAAGGAGGAGGAGGAGGAGGAAGAGGACCAGTGCAAACCCAAGACCCACCAACAATGTTGCCATACACCCTCCCTCCAAGCTCCCCCTTTTTAGGCCCCTACGTGGATTCGTTTTCATGGAGGGAAGTACCTCACCGCTTCAACAAAGCATGAAATCTCGAATTGCGTCGGAACACCATCCCTGGGACGTCGACGCCGCGAGTCCCCGCTACGGTTACGTTTTGACGGTCCTGCCTTTGCCAGGGCGCGACTCTTGGGACCTCCGCACCACGAATCGTTGTAACTGTCGCGTTTTGCCAGTCCAGCAACGTGCCTGAATACCGCTTCTGGGACAGCCATCATGCAAATCCTTGGAAAATTGCTGTAAACTCTTAGAACGAGTGTGCGCGGCGCTCAGGTAACCACCTCATTTTGAAAAGAATCCGCCCTCGATCCTGGAAGCCCTTGCTGGTTTTTGTCACGGATGTGCACGGCGCTGCGAGAGCCGCATTCGGAAAACGGCCCGCCATCCACCCGCGACATGTTTGCACATTTTATGACGGGTGTGCGCGGCGCTGAAGCGAGAGCCACATGTTGAAAATCACCTGTCGTCAATCCGTAAATTACTGCAGCGTTTTCGCAAATATTTGCGCGGCGCTAAGGCGAAAACCACATTTTGAAAGCGAACCGACCTCCGTTCGTGAAGCTGTTCTCAGTGGTGAGGAAGTCTCAGGCGAAACGCCTGGCCCGCTTTTCCGACTGGCCTCGGGGTGCGACAGGGAGGAACTATTCATAAGGAAAAAGAGTGGCGGAGGAGGAGGACGAGGAGGAACAGGAGGAGGAGGAGGAGCACGAGGAGGAGGAGGAAGAGGAGGAGGGGGGGGAGGAGGACAAGCTAGGTGCGCTCGCGTCATATCTGACGTCCGACCCCTTCCTCCCATTCTTCACCATGGCGTATATGTCTTTTCGGATGTCGAGCAGGACACTTGTCGCGAGAGGGTACGCGATGCGTGGTAGAGCACGGCCTGGCATGGCGTAGAAGAGCACGGCAGAGCATAGCATGCCAGAACATGGCGTGGCATTTCGCAGTGAAGCATTGCATCACAAAGCATTGCAACGCAAAGCATGGCATCGCACAGCGGCGCAAAACACAACACCGCACAGCATGTCATGGCATGGCGCCGGGTTCCTTGGAGGGTGAGTGGATCGTCTTCGAGATGCCTGGCCAGTCCAGTCGTGGCTTCATTTCTAGCCCCTTGGGCTCCCCGAAAACTCCGCACAAGGCGGGGCTGATGGAGAGCACCCGCTGGCTCTGCTTTCAACATCGCCTTCTCGAAGCAGAAGCGGGGCTTGCGCGTGATACCTCCTGAGAGCGACGACGCCCCCAAGTGGGGGCTTCTGCGGCCCAACAAATCAACGAATCGACACCGAATGTGTAATCGCTTCCGATGGTTGGGGCCCCAGATATCTTCCGGACGTCATCAAGGGAGAGAGGAGAGTAGTATTCAAATTGTGTAATTGTGGAGGAGGAGGAGGAGTAGGCGGAGGAGGAGGAGGCGGAGGAGGAGGAGGAGGAGGATAATTGCCTCAACAGACACCTCCATCGGTCCAGGTCTTGTCTTGCTACCTGGACCTCGTCGCCACTCAGGCCGGAGTCGCAGACGCTCCCTGATTCGATCGAAACTCGCAAGCAGCTTGCCAAGGCTGAGCGCAAAAAAGGACGAGGGGAGCACTCGTGCTGCGGTGCCCGCTCAGAAGACGTTCGGTCCTGCCTTCCATCCCTTCGTTGGGGTCCCTGAGGCCCCGCCCTCGGAGCTTCCCCGCGCCCCCCCGGAGCCCCCGCCCGTGTCGGACGCCCAGTGGCTGCCTCGGGCCGTGCCTTCTGCGTGCGAGTGCCATGCTGTGCTGTGCTGGCCATCCCGAGTCGGAGGCGGAGCGTCTCCGAGGGTGCCTTCGTGAACGCCTCGCCACCCGAGGACTCTCGCCCCCCCTGGCCTCGCCTCTGTGTCAATGCCCCCAGCGAGGAAGAGGAGGTGGGGGAGCTCGAGGCGCGAGTCAGGGCGGGGCAGATGGCTGGGCTGCTCTGGGAGCTGCAGGCGAGCACCTGCAGGCCTACGAGGGAGGAAAGGGGTTGGCGGTTCGCGGCTTGAGAGAAGCCGCGTCGGCACCATCACCCTGCAGAACACGCAACTCCAGGCTGCACTTGAGTTTGCATTGCGTTGTGCCATTCTTGCTGGTTCTTTCCATGCCAAGGGTGGATTCGATCCCATCCGTCTTTCCTCTTCCGGGTATCAAGGCTCCTGCAAGAACTGCAGGAATCAGACATTGCGATGCCGATGTGTGTGCGTTCGGTGCGCCTCATTTCCTGCCTGCGCTCTCGATTGCTCCGCCTCAAGTCCAGCTGTCTCCGTTCCAACCAGGGATCTGTGGAGGCCGATGTGCGTGCAGTTGCTGTCACGCCTCGGCCGAACGATCCGAGCCTTGGCGGCTCACAGCCTCTGCCTGTGGGTCAGCGTCCAGGGTTCTGGTCCAAGCGTCGTCCACCAGGGCTGCGACAAGTGGAGCCCGATCTCTCTGTCTCACCCGCCCCCCCTCCTCTGCATGTGCGCGTCAGGGAGTGCTGTCTTCGCCCTTCTTTCATCATCAAAATGTGGGCTTCGGCCGCGACGAGCTGCGGCGCCGCCCGCCCGCCCGCCGGATGCGGCCAGCTCCGTTCGGCGGCGCCCTCCGAGAGACGACGACGACGAGGTCGAGGTCGAGGAGGAGGAGGAGGAGGAGGAGGAGGAGGAGGTGGAGGAGGAGGAGGAGGAGGAGGAGGAAG